AGAGAGAGAGAGAGAACGAGAGAGAAGAGAGAGAAGAAAGAAAAAGAGAGAGAGAGAAGAGGAGAAAGAAAGTAAGAGAATTAAATAAAAGCTGAAAAATATAACAAACAAACAAAAGAAACATCAACAGCAACACAACAAATATAAACACAACAACAAACACGCACAAACACTTTTCCTAAATTCGTTACACGGACATGAAAAATACACAGAAATTAATGCATATCTACCAATCTAGACATATATATCTACCGGAGAGATAGATAGATAAATGTTTATCTATCAGATAGACAGACAAATGTGCATTTATCTGTGTGTATGTGCAATTTATGATTTTATTGTGTCGGTTTTCCGCATAATTTTAACAAAGTGGTCAATTGTATGTAATGATGTTGTTCGGGTGTTCACACTCTCCTCTCTCTCTCGTTCTCTTTCTTTTCTTTTCTTCTCTATCTCTCTTGTCTGTCTGTCATCTCTCTCTCTCTCTCTCTCTCTCTCTCTCTCTCCTCTCTCTTCTCTCTTCTCTCTCTTTTTCCATCTGTCTGTCTGTCTCAGTTCCTATCTATCACTATATTTTTCGCTATCCAATACGTTTTCTATATCTATCTTATCTCGCTTTATTATCTTTATCTCATCTCTTATAGATCTTTATCTATTTCGCTATCCATCTACCATATTAAGCTATTCATTTTAAGTGCCCAATTCTACAATAATTACTGATCTATGCATAAACCTATCTATCTCCCTCCATGTTCATCTATCTATAGTTTCTAATGATCTATTGTTCTAGCCCCTTTTTAGCAGTATTTATAGATTATTTTCATTAAAGTATAAATTAATGTATCAAGAAAATATTCAGAAAAAATATCTTATTAAAGAAAATATACTTAATCAAGCACTTATGATACTAAGTTGATGTCCTTAAGTAATTACTAAGTTGCAGCAAAAACTTAATAAAAAAATTACTTCGCTAATATATATTTGGAGGTTCACCCCTATTATGTAAACACAAAATTATTCTTACGCTACTGTGAAAATTGATTGGCTTCATCACCGCTTAACACGTAGAGCTGAGATTTCTTAAAAGTTACTTATCAATTCTTTACTACGCTAACTTAATAGACTTCTTAAACAATGAACATCAAATTTATTACTTATTCCATTATTGAGCCACACGTAAAAATATAGAAAAGTCCCTCATGATACTTAATCCAAAAATTAACACAAGGTCCATAACCCCGTTCTCGTCCACTATGTTACATCACGATAAGGCAATAATTTACTTTAAATTGTCTTAACAAAACAACATGGCTGGATGCTGTTCCGAGATCTAGTCCACCTGCACGATGTCTGTCTCTGAATCTCTTTTTCTTTCCAATATGGCGTTCATCTGGTCCTGCCCTTGCTGTTATTAAATTATCTATTTCTAAGCGTTATAAAATACTCGTTTCTATGTCCTGGTAAATGGTTTTAAACACTGGTTTATCACTTTCTAACTCTTTCTACCTGCCACCCTGAGGGGATTTTTTCTTGCGCGATGTCTGTCTCTGAAATCTCTTTTTCTCGTTTCCAATTATGGCGTTCATCTGGTCCTGCCCTAGCTGTTATTGAAATTATCTATTTCTAAGTCGTTATAAAGATACGTCAGGATTCTTCTATGTCCTGGTCAATTTTCAACACTGTTTATCACTTCTAACTCTTTCTATCTATCACCTGAGGTAACCCTTATTTATGTTCCCGACTGTTACACTATGATCTATATTTACTTGTCAATTAGGCCTACTTTTTGTTTGCATTCGTGGGTTTTCAATTTTAGCTTCTGTTAGTCCATTCACGTGAAATGGTCACCCCTCTGTCACGTGACGACTTCGCCACTTCGCGGTCCATGGGGCCTCCTATTTTTTTTTTTTCATCACTTATTTTACCTTCTTTATTATTGTTACTTATGTATTATTACCTTACTTATTATTACATTATATTATTAATTATTATTATTATTATTATTATTATTACATTATCATTATTAATATTTATATTATTATTATTATTACTATATTATTATTATTATTGATTATTGATCCTATATTACCCCATTATCATTATTAATTATTATCATATTATTACCATTATCATTCATTTATTATTATTATTATAATTCACCTTTTTATTTTATATTTCTATCTATTTGTTTGCACACTACCTCCTTTCCTGTTGACCTCTCGAGTCCTCAAGATATTTACTCTCTTTCCCTTAGTTCGCGTTGAGGATACAATGCCTTCCCTCTTAATGACGCTATTTACCTCTTATCTACTCTTGTTAATTCTACCTGTCTACTCTACCTGTTCTATCTTACGTTATATATTGACTTATCACTGCTTATCGTATCTGTCTATCTGCACTTACCTATCTGTCTAAAGATCTATCTGGATCTATCACATTATCTATCTATCTATCTATGTTATCTACATTACCTATCTATCTAAAATATCTATTGACCTATCACTTTACCTACCTATCTATCTACAATATCTATTGACTTCTCACTTTATCTATCTATCTATCTACACTTACTTATTTATCTAACAACTGTCTATTGCATCTATCACTTAATCTATCTGTCTATCTTATCAATCGGACATTTCTAAGTCTTCTTTTATGACATATTATTATCATTTAGATTTATTAAGATTAGATTTTTACCTGTATGTCCCTAGTTCTATTTAATATCACTGCTGTTTATTCTATGATTAATTAATTTCTTCCCCAACGCCGCCTCTGTCCACGCCGCTGGCCGATCCGGGTCGACCTGTGACGTGGAATGATATATCAGTCTGTCTGCTGTCTGGTCTCTTGCCTATTCTCTGTTTCTCTTCTCTCCTCTCTCTGTCTCTCTCCGTTCGTTTCCCTCCCTCCTCCTCTTCCTCTCTCTCCTCTCTCTCTCATCTCTCTCTCTCGTCTCTCTCTCCTCTCTCTCTCTCTCTCTCTCCCTCTCTCCTCCGCCTCCGCCCCTCCCGGCCCTCCGCCCGTCCCGCCCTCCCGCCCTCGCCTCTCCCGGAAAACCCTCCCGTGCCTCCCACCCTCTCTTCCCTCTCTCCCTCTAAGGCCCTCCCCTATAGAACATAAAATATTAATAGATTGCCCTCAAGGCACCTTCCCTTCACCCCCCCGTCTCAATTTCCTCTCTCTCCCTTTCCCTCCTTCCTCTCTCTTTCCCTCCTTCCCTCTCTCCCTCCCTTCATCTTCTCTCCCCCTTTCTCTCCCTCCCTTCATCCTTCCCTCCCCCTCCTTTTCTCCTACCTTCCTCTACCCTCCCCCTTCCTTCCCTCCTTCCCTTCCTTTCTCTCCCTCCCTTTCATCCTTCCCCTCCCCCTTCTCTCCCCTCCATTCATCCTTCCCTTTCCCTCCTCCCTCTTTCCCTCCAGCCCTCACCTATAGTAGGGCAGGATCACCCTTTCCTTCCACTCCCTCCCTGTCCTCCCTCTCTAAACCTCCTCCCCCTTCTTCCTCCTCTCTCCTCTACCTTGCCTCCCTCCAGCTTCTCACCATAGTAGGCTCCCCCATTCCTCGGTTCCCTCCTCCCCTCCTCCCTTCCTCCCCCTCCTGTCTCTCTCCTACCCCGTCCCCTTCCCTTCCCCCCTCCCCCTCCCCGTCCCTCCCTCCCCTGGCCGCCCCCACCCCCCTCTTCTCCCTTCCTTCCCCCTTCCCTTCCCTCTCCCTTCCATCTCCCTTCCTCCTTCCCTCCCCTGCCTCCCTTCCCTGCCCTCCCTCCCCCTACCCTACCCTTCCCTGGCCATCCCACCCCCCCTCCTCCCTTCCTCCCGACCCACCGCCCTTCACCGTGTAGTAGCGCATGAGCAACCTTCCGCCCCTCCCCACTCCCTCCCCTAGCTCCATTACCCTCCCCTCTCCCTACCCTCCTTCCCTTCCTCCCTCCCTTCCTCCCCACTTCTCCACCCCCATCCCCCATCCCCTCCTCCCCTCCTTCCCCTCTCCACCTTCCCTCCCTCCCTACCCCCACCCCTCCCCACCCTCCCTCCTCCCCTTCCTCCCACCCCAGCTCCCTCACCTATAGTAGCGCAGGGGCACCGACG